GGTTCACCTGCTGAATTAAAACAGAACAAATGAGCAAAGAAAGTGAAACCATAAAGCAGACTCAGGCAGTAGAAGTATAGATTCACACTGAAAGTATTAGTGTGATTACTTATCTCTTATACAGCTAACAGAGAAGAGATTACATTTGATCCTTTACAACAAACACTAGATGCTCTTTTGAGGTTTTTAGTAACATTAAAATCCTGCTATCCCCAATTCTTAGAAATGTGACAGTAATCTAATGACATGTTTTTGATGTAACCGTAAGGGAATACAGTTACCTTTTTTGTAAACTGATAATGTAATATGTTCTCTCAGAGCCTGAATACAATCTGCTTTATGTCCAACATATGCTCCACATGGGCTCTCATTGATGAGATGGCTGGGATATTCTAACATGTGTTTGATAGCTCTAGCTTTTAGTTGAATGATCCTTTACAATACTTACAGTATGTGTTAGTATCAAATAGTGATTAACGCAACTGGTGCTATTTATTCATTATCTCTCCACATCTGTCTCTTTTTAATGAATGTGATGTCAGCTCTCTGGGCCCCGTCCCATACTGTCGTTTGTCCCCCCCCGTCTCCTCCAAGAACAGTTGCCCTCACTATTGACAGCCAAACGGATGTGAGACCACAGGATGGTTTTTTTTCAGCCAAATGTCTTAATCATGGGATTCACTGCATCTCGTTTTTTAAAGTCTAATACCTGTGTGTGTGTGTGTGTGTGTGTGTGTGTGTGTGTGTGTGTGTGTGTGTGTGTGTGTGTGTGTGTGTGTGTGTGTGTGTGTGTGTGTGTGTGTGTGTGTGTGTGTGTGTGTGTGTGTGTGTGTGTGTGTGTGTGTGGGTTGTGTCAATGATGTGCCAGCGTACCTTTATTTTGTGTAAGCATTTATCTTGTTTTAATTTGTTATTATAGCTTTTAAAATAGTTTCATTCGATGTGTTGCTTGTTTTCTACAACGTATTCCTCTCAATGCGTTTATGTTTGTCCAACAGTGCAAAAGCACTTTAGAACTTTCAGACATATTTTTTTTTAAATGCATCAAAAAGGTTTCATACTCACTTCCAACAAAGGCCATACTCCCTCCTGCTTGAGGACTGGAGGGAGTATGAGAGAAACTCCCTTTGGGATTGTAGCCTTTGTACACCAGTAAAGCAATGCACAAAAACAATCTAACTCACTAAAGGTAAGGGAAACCCCCAACAGAATAATAGGGCCTCTGAAATCTTTAAATGTGATGCCTTAAAAAGACAGAAGCCTCTGCTGCTGGGTATCTGTTTCTGCCTTTTCTTGTTGCAACAGATACAATGTTAAATTACATGTACAGTACATTATACTGCAAAACAAACCCTGGGTTGGTTCATTTCCCTGTGTTTAAGAGCAGGTAGTTCCACTCTGTTCCTGCAGTGACTAATAAAACATGGGTTGTTTCTATGGAAGTGCTCCCTGCTCTCTCTGAGACATTACACACTATATTATCTGCAGCTCCAGCCATTAGCCTAAAGGTACTTCATTTCCACCGCAGCATTACGGGAGTGATTTCCCAAGTAGATAAACTGTTGATAGGCCAAGATCTCAACAGTAATTACATCATGTTTTATAGTACATAAGCCCTGAGAAAATGATGAGAATCTGGATGAAAGTGTACATCAATCAAATGTAACAAACCCAATTATTGTCAGCCCTCCCTTCCTCTCCGCGCTGCTCACAGCCATCACACATCTCCCCATGACTCAGTCCTGATATGGCAATTACAGCCGTGGAGAGTCTTCGCTAATAACTGCAATCCAATCACTTCACAGCACGCACGGAAGGAAAAAAGGCCCACGATAAATAATGACAACCCGCAATTTACTTGATATTGTTATTTTTACGCTTGCCTCCTCAATAACAGGATCATTAATGGCTTTAATTTGGCTCGCTTCTACGAGTTTCCTCCACTGTCATGGTTCTCACATTGCACAAAGTGTGTGCCTACTGTTTCCAGGAGTACAGGAAGGCATCTTTTCAGATATGTTAATTTAATGTAAGTACATATTCAGTGAGAGAAAACAAAAAGGCTCCAGGTCCTCCATATTGCAATACGTTGTGGTAACTTATATATTGCATTATTGAAAATAAAATGTGAAGGCCGCTGAAGGCATTAACATTATAGGTTAGAACTGAGAGATTTTTTAGATTTGCTTAGTTTAGCTTATCCTATCCAAATGATCACTCATTCACATAATGTTTCTCCTTTTTCAAAATATTTTTGAGGGAGCTACATGCTGGGTCTTTTTATTGGTGAATGACAGATGTGTGCAGAGGCTTTCCCAAAAACCTTTAGTCACCAAAGAAAGCAGATAATGCCCAGAAATGATGTTTCGATTAATAAAATGTTCGCAAGGTTTATACCCTGTGTTGAAATTAGATTTTCAACATACAATTGAATGCTTGCTTTTGAATTAAGTTTCAATTCTCCCATCATAGCTCAGCTCACCTGAATCATTTGTGATTGTGACTAGCAACAGACCAACAACTTTGTTTGAGTTATTAAGGAAAGTATGGTCAAGAATAACTTCTGATGCTGTACTTTTGTGCCAATACAGAACAACACAGTCCTAAATGTTGGATGAAACATAACAGGTGGAGCTTACATGTCAACAGATCAATATCCATGACAATTAAACAAACTGAATGATCTTGGTGAGAGCTCAGTACAAACTAGAAGGTAAACCTTGAGTTGGGTCTTTTTACGGTAGTGTTCCCTTTACCCAGTAGCAGTTAAAATATTTCTTGTACATCTCAACTTAAACATGAATTAATGTAATCAAAATCAAATATAAAACCAAAGATATTTGCCACTGCCAGGGCTTTAACGTTTTATCGAGTCCAGAGATAAGAAAACTGAACTTTGCAGTGGTTACAAATAACTATGGTTCTATCAACTACGCCGTCTGAAGAGATGTAAAATGTCCATGTCAGAGTTCGGGACCTTTCTTTATGTTTCTGTCCCCGCCACTTCTTTCTGTTTCCGATCATGTGAGCACTGCAGCAGTCTTAGGCCAGCCCCCCATGCTCTCATTGGTTGAGACGCCATCCTAATCCAATACTTATCAACATCCCACCCCCCCTGTGACCCAGGGTTTGTCTGTGGCCGTTTCTCAATCGCGAGGATGCTGGCTTGGTAGTCGCGTACTTCCAAGTCACTTCCTTCAGAAACGAAGCCAGTATGCTTCCAAGCCACGGCTTCGGAAAACGAAGAAGAATGGAACAGGCTAACAAGTGTGCCACTCTCTCTAACGGTTTCAACATAAACTGTACCGAAAATAAATACCTCACGATGTCTATCTAATTATGAACTTGCTTTACTTTCACGGAACACATTTATGGTGATAACCTATGGTGATAACAAACAAATGTAACATATTTACCAACACATGTTCTACGCCACTACATACTTACATTTAAATGTGTGCTGCGTCGGTTCAGCCATTCTCCGCAAGGGTTTTTGAAATTGGTCCGTGCGCAAAGCATTGTGGGGATTTTAAGGATGCGAAGTCTACCCATGTGCAGCCTCGAAATTTCCCCCAAACCAAGGACGCGGCCTCAGTGGAATTCCAAGTATGCTGGAAGTAGTACTTCGGCGGCACTCGATGACGTAGCATCCTTGAAATATTGGCTTGGAAGCCAGTATCCTCGAGATTGAGAAACGGCCTGTATGTGTATTCAGAGCCAGTGAGCAACAGACTTTCAAAATAATAATAATAATAAAAAAACTTAATGCGCAATACAATTATTGTCGGCTTTAATTAACTAATGCGTAAACGCAATAATAACGTGTTTACTTTCCTTGTCCTAATAATCATATTACTTTATTATATAACTCAACCTTATCACACGGCTTAGATGAATACTCAATTCTGAGGTTGTTAGTTCTTGCTAACAGACCGTCGCTAAGGAGGATCAAAGGACTATGTGGAGAAAACAGGAAGTAAACACTAATGGTAACAGCAGAGGAAGACAGACAGGAAGTAAACACTAACGGGCAAAACAGAAAAAGACCAACAGGAAGTAAACACTAACAGAAACCCAGTATGGGCTCTGGCGAGTTTAAAGACTGGTTAATGGAAAAGAAAATGTGAACGGACTGGGACAGTTACAGAAAACCTTGATCAGTGCTGATCAACATCCTATTTTGTATTCATTAACGACGAGCTCCCTACACATTCTCCCTTACATATTGTACTTCTACTTCTCAAAGTTAGATTTGAACCCTTGGATTTTGACACCATTGGCAAGAGAGACAATGCTTGATAAATCTGATGGTAGGCGGTAGAGCCGTAAACCATGAATTCTTATTGAACAATCAATCAGTCAATTTTCCAACACGAGCCACTTCCTACCGAATTGGTAGTCCCCCTCAGTGTGGAAGTTGACTGGCAATTTGGGAGAGCAGTGCTTTGGGGTACTCTACTTCAATTGAGTCGGAAAGCATCATCCCAGGAAAGGGCTCTAAGCAGAAAGGGCAGTCCAGGCAAAGCAGTGAAGAATTTTTCAAGAGGAAAAGCTTAAAAATAATGACATCTTTGGAGAGAGTCTGTTATGGCTGAGTGCTGTTCTATGCCTCTATAATTGGTCCCACATAAAGCACCATTACAATTTCATTTAGCTATAAACAGACATTTAAAGCTGCAATATTTAATTTGCACATTGTCGGCCCAAGATGGAATCGAGAGGTAACTATTGCAGGCTTCATTACTCTGAAATCCTGTTAGATTACAGATTTGAACTGCTAATGGGTTTGTGTACTGTATGTATACCAAGTAGGTCTGTGTGGTATTTCTTCACCAAAGACCAGAACATGAGATAAGCCCTGCATGTTGGATCTGTTTCAGGTGCGTAGCTGGCTGAAGTTCGATATCAAAGGTCACATAATGACTCCAACTCGTTTGTTGCAAAGTGTTGCCACAGCAGCATTTCAGAAAACAAATAGATCCATTGAAAACATAAAGTACCAGTATGGTGGAGACGACCAGGGAGCGGTTGGATAAGGAGTCAGAGACGTTGGTCGTCTTCCCCCTTTGGTTGTCCGTCATGTTCAGTCCGCTTGGAGGGTCCCAGGTACCAATCTGTAAAGCAAAATACAAATGTTTCATTTTCTAACTGGCTCCAGGGCCAACATTCAGATGGCAAACAGAACAATGTGCCAAAGCACGATTGTGTTTTTGCAGTTTGAAAAAAAAAACGGGAAAAAAACTAAGCTTTAATTTTGGCTTACCTTTAATTCTACCTTTTATTTGAAGCTTTATTGTTCGTTTGTAAAATGATGTCTTTGATTAACCAATCAGCTTTGTTTTCTGCACAAGGTCACTAAAGAGGCCCTAGTATGCTTGTTGTGGTTTCCCCCTTCCTGTAGTGTTTATATAGCACAGGCTACAATCCCAAAGCTCCCTCCAGAGGGAGCTTCTCTCCCCCTCCATTGGACTTTTTAGTTTACTTCCATTACATAATGACATCACTGTGAAACACATGCATTTCTATTGGCCAGCTCTCCAACAGATTGTTCATGATAGGCTAAGGGGTGAGACAATTCCAACACATCACTATACGGTAGACAGAGGGTGAAAAGAGGTGCTGCAGCACAGGCAGTATGAGAAAAATAAAGAGCTTTTTGAACATTGAAGCATGTCAATCTGTAGAAGCACACAATAACATGAAATGAGCATAATATGTCTTTAAATGAAATGTTGTCAGCACCTCTGCAACCCTCTGCCAATCATGGTAACCATTAACATTAATAAAATCAGCAGACAACCTCATTATGAGAAAATAACTTAAAGATTTGGTGACAATTGTATATTCACATCTAATGCAGCCACCACAAAACCTGCACACTTTTAACTTTGTTCTCGTTGAATGATTGACATAGGACTTGTTGTATTGCGTGATATGACATGTGTATCTTAACAGGATAACACAAATTGGTAACATTACCCAATACACAGCCAGACATGTACTGTATGGATACATACTGACTCTCTCCTCTCTTTCTGTGCCGGATACATACAGAGGATAATGTGCAACACCCTGAGGAAACTGTTGACAGCCATGTGAACCCTGAACACTGTCAGGGGGCACTTTCTGCTAGACTCCCACAGGGAATAATGTTAGAGATGATCTAGGATCTGTATTGGCCCCGTGGCTCTTTGGAGGGTTTGTGGAGGACAACACTAAGGAGGGCTCAAAGAAGGAGGGGGCGCATCCTGGGGAAGCACGCCGGAAGAAGATGATTGTTGGATCGTGCCTCTAGGCTTCTCTTGTCCTTCTAGCTCCGACTTCGTGCAGCCCCTCCAACCCAACCTGAGCCCAGGGATCGCAAACGCTCCAGCCAACACCAGCCACACACTCCTCAGTGCTCTTCTGGTGCCCCGTACGAGGCTGGAGACGGGCTTTGTAATTGCAAATCAACACTTTAATTCAGGCTTCATGAGAGTGGAGAGCTTCTCAAGGTTTTTTTATTAATAGAGTAAATTATTCATCAAGGTGCAGGCGCACACAGAGCAGAGGTCAGGAGCTTCTGAGAGGCGAGTACCGGTGAGGATGCTGAAGTGTGAAGTGTGAAGTGTTTGCGCTTGCATTTGAGAATATTATTTGTATCGGCAGTGTAAGCAGGTTACCTTCCGGCTGTTAATCTCATGAATCTTAAATTGGCTGCTGAACACTGGAGATGCTTCCTAGGAAACAATCTGAAACATAGGGGCGTCTATTGGTATGAGTACACAGACATACCTGACACGGATACCATGACATGCTATGATGCATTATAAGTAGGGGTGCACCGAATGGGAAATTCTTGGCCCATAAAACATTTATTCAGCACTTTTGAATGCATACAGTACATTTATATATGTCTTGTATTATTGCTAAAAAACATTATATCGCAGTCTTAGTGTCGCCAACTCGTTTCTAATATGCAAAGACAACAAATGCGTCTATGATGTATTTTCGATCAGACGAGATCTCTCTCCCCCGTCTGTGTGCGAGGGGGCGGGGCAGTTTACACACACGCAGCTGCTACATGCAGCGGAGCACACTGCGGAGATGGCGGAGAGAACGCGCTCCGAGGTGTGGTTAAACTTTACCCGTCTCGATGTGGAGAATACTTGTTACCATAAGTGCAATAAGAGTTTAGCACCGGGTTCGACCGTCTTTCTAGCAGCTCTGTAGCCCCATCCACGAGTAACGTTTCCACGTCAGGTGTTATGTATGCTAGCAGCAACACACGGAGTTAACTACATGATACAAACATGGGTTAATGATTAGAGGAAACTGAGTTATTTAGTTTGTTGAAATTTCACCTATTCTGTTTACAGTCTGTCATCAGATTATTTAATACGATTTGTTAAAGGCTCAGGGCAATCTCGATGACAAAGGTCAATGCCCCCCCCCCCCCCCCCCCCCCCCCCCCCCCCCCCCCCCTGTGAGCCAGCCGCGAGCATGGTCGCCGCGTCTTTATTACGTCATCACAACAACACGTTAGGTTACCAACGTAAGCCTGTTCTGACATTCGGTGATATTTTTTCGGTGCTAAAACCCTTTCGGCCGAAAGTCGAAAGGGCCTTTTTAACCATTTTCGGCCGATAATTTTTGGTGGCCGAATATTCGGTGCATCCCTAATTATAAGTGATATTAAATGTAGGGTTTGGGCAGAATTAAATGTATATATTTTAAAGGGACAGTGTGCAGCGTTTGGCTGGACACTTAACTTGTAGACCAGAGGAGCCAGTGATCAAACTGCCAAAAATGTGATTACTGGACGACCTTTTCTATACCTTCAAAAACGTTTAAGTTGTAAACTCTTCACCGTCTAGTGTTTGTGTATTTGATAAGCCCTTAAACGCAGGTCTATTGGTCTTATAATATATAACTGATCTTTTGGTCGTAATTCAAGCCTCTGTTCTTGGTCTGAAAGCCCCATAACATAACAATCTGAGTAAAAAAAGGAGATAAAGAAGTTTGAGTTCCTGGCAAGCAACACACCTGGTTTGAATGTATTTTTGGCTTACTGGATATATTGTCTGTCATGTTGGCTGTCACTTGTCATTTGTGTTGCATGAAAAAAAACTTCCAGCAGTCAAATTCCCACACAAATCTTTCTTCACACTGAGACTGAAAACGTCTTGATAAGCCGATGCAGAAACACACAGTTCAATGGGGAGACTAAGATGGTATACCCCACTAAAAAAGATTGTAACAACCAAAAACATCAATATGCTTGGGCTTCTTCAGACTGGATGTTTCCCCTCTCCTTCACAGCGTTGATGCCTTAGCATGGAATCTCTTTATGGCCATGACAGGAAGAATACTAGCTATTTCAACGGTCATATACAGTAGACATGCAAGCCTTATATTTGGTAGCAGTCAGCTATATCTGAAATGTGTCTTATTTCTTTATTTTGTCTTGACCCAATAAGCTGAGTTAGATTGAACTAAATATATTGTATATAACTTTAAAACTGAGTCTCCAGTATATACATACAAATTGTATTTCTATTCCACAATTTTCAGTCTAAATGTTGAAATTAAAGTAAAACATCCAACAAATATAGTCAAGGTCTTGTATTATCTTCAATATAATTATGTATTCAGTGCTCATTCTAACTCGTTAATTGAGCAGAAGAGGTGTTAAAGGGGACCTATTGTGCAAAATGCACTTTTTGATGTCTTTTATACATAAAGATGTGTCCCCGGTGCGTCAGGGAACTCACGCAGCGTCAGAAAATAAAACCCTCTCTCTTTTCCTCCGTACCCAAATCTCTAAAAACGGAGCTGATCCAGATTTGCGTCCGATATGACGTAATATCTGAAATGTGGACCCACGGCCCTATCAGAAACGTTGCTATCAGAAACAATGCCCGACTGTTTTGGATGTAATATGGTCGGTGTTTACTTTAGCATCGCTAACACTCAGAGCTAACCTGTACTGGAGAGCATGTGTGTGAAGAAGCAGGAAATAAAAAGGAACTCACCTTGTGGTATAACCGGCAAGAGAGAAAGCCTTTGAGCTCCATACTGTTTCAGAGAGAATCCTTGATAATCCATGATATGGCGTTTCATCACGGCAGTATTTAGTTTAGACAGTAGATGCCGGGTCCATGAGCTCAGCCCGCTCCTTTTTTTTATCAATTGTTTTTATTAAAGGTCCCATGTCATGGCTTTTTCTACTGATCTTAATTCCATTGATGAGGTCTACTAGAATAGATTTATATTGTGCAATTTTCCAAAATCGCATTGGTTTCTCATACAGCATCTCTGTATATTATGTGTATTCACTCTCTGTCCTAAACGGCTTGTTGAAGCTCCTGCCCCCCCTCCCTATGAGACCAGTGGCCGTCTGCGAGGCAGCGAGACACAGCGAAACCCAGCCCGAACACACACCGACTCACAGCCTCGCCGCGTCCCGCCGTCTCAGGGAGGAGAAATCGTCGGAGCTGCAGCTGAGAAAAGATTGAGTGTGTGTGTGTGTGTGAGGAAGTCCACGGATTGCTCAATTTGGACCAATCCACGGACTTAACGTAACGGCTCCACGGATTGGTCCATTTGGACCAATGGGTCCATTTGGGTATGGGCACGTCACTGTACCCAGGAGGAAAAAGAGAAATGTCCAACGAGGCGTTCTGGGGCAGCATAGACTGGTCCTTTAGTTTTACTCCCTACAGGGTGTACTTTGAGGGTGTGTGACTCTGCAGACCGTTTACATGCATAAAAACCTTCATAATACACAAGGGGACGGGTACTAACCGGAAAAGCATGACATGGGACCTTAAAAGCTTTATACCCAAAATCAGCACTTTTGAAACAGGAGTGAAATAGAGGGATATGAGGCATGGCTAGAACGCGTGATCTGTTTGGTATTTTGAGCAAAACACTTCATAGACATGTTTTTTATATATTTGTATATGTTTTTTGTACACTTTGGGCTTGTTCTTCTTAAATAGATTGGAAGTCCTGACAACAAGTCAACAAGCTTGTGATCTGAAGGTTGTAGGTTCAATCCCCAGACCACAAGGATATGTTTGGGTGAGATTGTCCGTACTGATGGTCAGTTATAAACAGTTTTAGTTTTGGTCTTCCTGACTCTAGCTCTTTATTTAACACACATATATATCTTCTTATCTTGAAAAGAAGACAAACTATTTATTTGAATCTAAGTTACAGGTAAAATTATCAACTCTTGAAGTGATGATATATTTTTGTAGGCCACCCTTGAAGTTAGCATTGCAAGGGTTCCCTCGACAAATAGAAAAAGGATTTCAAAGTTGGATTTGAGTACATTAAAGAAAATAAGCTTTGCGGCCAACACACATTTATGATACTTATAAAAACATAAATATTAACACCACTTTATGATTTTCGAAGCCTAAACGTAATCTGCGGGAATAAAAAGCTAATGTAAAGTTATAAAGGAAATACATCACGGTCTCCTGGCTGCACATCACCACCGCTGAGCTAAAGACGGTCGCATGTCAGTGTGATGACATTTAGTAGTAACCGCCATTTTTAGGACCAAGAGAAGCTTCAGACATTCACCAGTGGAGCATTAACTGATGTTTTCAGCTTGTGTTAACCACAGATCTTACTACAGACTTCTAACCACAAGCAAGTAAAACAAAAACGGTTGACTTGGAGACGAGGGAAATGGAAGTGGTAAAATGCTAAGTCTTTTTCAGATTGTAGAACTCATTCCTGCACCACTCTTTAACTTAATGGTTTATTATTTTATTCTGTTTGAATACCTACATGAAGCTTAAAAATATGCCATTCACTGACAATGAACTGCAGTGAGTTGACATCCTAGATATGCATTAGAGTTACGTAGAAGCCTTCAATTAATGGACCGCAGATACTAGTTCAAGTACAAGTTATATGGGTATTTTGCGAGATCCATTCATCTGTCACAATTGACGTTCTCCATACATTTGCACATTGATTTGACATGTCTCCTCTCATCCTCACATTGTCATAGCAGGTGAATCGATGCACACATTAGAGACACACTACCTTCTCAAGCCCTTCTTCCTTCAGACTGATAACATCGAGGTCAAAGTCAGTCCTCAAGCCATTGGTCCGGTTGAAGATTATTCTTCCGGTCAGGCCATCCCAGTGGGCCTAAAGACAGAGGGGGGGGGGGGGGGGGGGGGGGGGGGTTATTCAACAATCAGTACCAAGTCTTAATCTTTCCTTTTTGGATGTCGCTGTTCAAAGCAAAGCCGCCAAGGAGTCAGAACACACACTTTTTCTTTTTCTACCTCTCACACACTGGTTCTGTCTGTACAGCTTCCTGGCATCTGAAGCTCTACACTCTGAGGCTGCATTTGTAACCGTGTGAAGGCAATCCCGCAATCTTTACAGATATTCAGGGGTGTGATAAGATACAATGCAGCATGAAAGTGGTTCAGAGCAGGAAAAGCCTTTTTTTCAGGTTCAGCAAATCATCACAGAGATTTTCAGGCCCTGAAGTCAGAAGAGTAGGAGCCAAAGATCTCTTCCTCTGTACAGTCTGCTGTGCTAGAAAGCCTTTTTCATGAGGCTTTGATTCATACACCTCTAATAATCAGAGTGCTGTTTGCATATCACTCCAAAAGAGAGTTTACTTTTTACAATTACCAAGTCATATATTAAATCTGTCAACTTGTGTTGTCAATGTGTTACTATACAGTCTGTCACTTAATCTTCTTCACAACTGTTGACCATTTCATGGATCCTAGATAGTCATGGTCCCAAGAGGAGAACTCCTGCAGACTTTGATGTGTCATAATTGGTAAACTTAAATGATTTAAGGCGAGACACGGCAGGCAAAAACATCGTTTTTCAAGTACTGGTCAATTTTGAGATTTTGTGCTATTTTGATTCCATAACATGTTTTCTTTCAGGCTTTTGGAAGGAAAACGTACAAAATACACATTTAAGTGTTTATTTTACTATAGTTTGTCTATTTGCGTCTTAAACCAAGAAACGAAATCTCATTGGCTGGTGTCAATTTATGACAACGTGATTTGTTCAGATGCGTCACGTGGTGTGCTAAAACACTTCCTGGTTAGCTTTCAGCTAGAAATTGAAATCTCAAAATGCCAAAAGAACGGCGAAAAAAACGTTCACAGAGAAGACGCCAACAATTGTCACTTGCACGAAGCAAGGTTATAAAAAAACAAATGACCCTGAACATGAAATACCTCCTACTCTGAGTTCGAAATTTCAACTTCAGTAGCACACACATACACCAAACCTTCCAGTTATATTCCTATCAATATTATGAAGGCTTTTACAGAAGGGTTTGTTCATATATAATTCATAGCCTGAATTATACAACATTGTATACCTAAAAACATGGCGAAAAATGATATTTTAGGGCTGTTGACAGTATTTTCTGATTTATGGAGTGATAAAAAGAGATATCCAAAATCCCTTCTGTAAAAGCCTTAGATACTAATATGACTACAAAATGAAACAAGAATTTTGAACCTGGCTTTATCCAAAGTTCAGATTTCGATTCCTGAAATGTGTTAACATATGTGCATATTTAATGAGATAATGGATAATTTGCATATTTAAACATGCTATTTCAGAAAACTTGTAATACAAAAGACAATTGCCTTATTGTAAGTAATTAACTGGAGACATTTCTAGCTGATACCTTTAAGTTAAAAAAATTACCCTATTCACCTGGGGTGTCTCGCCTTAAAACCTCTTAAGCTCACATTCATGCTCCACAGAGGATGAACCCCAGCTGCCAATCTCCTAATAACTCTTCTTCTTCAAGACCCACCTTAAAATGACCCTTGGCGTTCTGAGTTGCTTTTTTTTTTTAAAACAAGCCGGAGTAAAAGCATATTAATGCTGCTCAGAGGTTATTGACTTAAATTATCCCAAGGCCCACTCCCCTTATGACCAACCACAGAAAAAAACATATACTGTATATTTGAAACCAAGCAACACGTTTTTAAGGGGGGTGAGAGCTGGGAAACGACCATTCATAGTGTTTTTGTGAAGTTCTACAAAAGATGTAGCTAGTAAAGGATCATCATTTCAGATCATTTTGGATTGTTCAAAATAAAGTTCAATTAATCAAATCTAATTAAATATCTTAATTTGCCTACTTGCCTATCTCGTCAAATAAATATGAATTAAGCATAACACATTTATTTTACATGGTGTATTTTGATGAGTATTTTTCAAAGATGGTGTCATGTAAACTTGAGTATACTTCAACATTTTTGAAAAGTAAGGGTTGTGGAAGGAAAAATAAACAGAGCATCAAAACATCTATAGTGAAAACTGTTGAATTTAATAAAAATAAATGCATATAGTTCCAATTTGCAAACCCTCACCAAATGGTTTATTTATTGCAGTGTTCTCATGAACAGAGCGTAAAGGGAGCCCTAAATATAGTTTGCCTAATCCTCAGCCTTTCCACGGAAAGAAAGCTCCGGATTAACCATCCCAGATTCAGAAACGCAGCGAACTGTGGGGCAATTACCAAATATTAACATAATGTTCTGTTTTTTGTTTCTGCATGGCTGACTAACGCTGAGAGCAGGCTCAAGATGGCTGCCGTCCTCATGGGAGTATGTATGTAAACACAACAAAAGGTATCCATATGAATAAATACACAGATAAATCATCTCTATTTAATCGCAGTCCTTTTGCCTCGGCCTTATTTGCATTCTGCGGGTCTGCTCTGCTGAGAGCATGTGTTTGCTGTGTGTGAAGGTGTGTGTATGGTGGGGGGAAGCAGGTATAGCAGCAGCTACCTCTTTGATGAGGGCCATGAAGCGGTTCCCAAAGCGCCAGGGCTTGTGTCGGTTGCACTGTAACGAGCTGACAGTGATCTGCTGAGACTGCTGCACAGCCACGGCCACCACGTGCACGGCATCGTACATGAGCGCGGCGTCCGTCTGCAAACAGAGAGGGGGGGGGAACAGAGCGTCATTCACATGGAACACGGCACACAGAGAATCAGCGGGCACAGGCATGGATCTTCTCAGAATCAGAGAATATCAATGTCATGATGGCACAATCAAAGCCTCACATTAAAACCCAGGGGCCCGGCTCCAGAGCACAGACAGTAGAGAGAGAAAACATTTAAAAATAAAGGAGAGAGATTAAAGGCTCCTTCTCAAACAGACAGGACTTTTCTTCAGACTGTTCATTTTACATTTATATGCCATTTACTGGACATTTCATGTAAATAATACTTTCAAATTGTGTTAGCTGTAATTTGTCCCTCAAATTTGTATCTCTCAAGGTCAACTTTTATGTATTTTTCTTTTTAGTTCTGTTTTGTTTTCTGAGATGTTTATATGTTGTGTTTTTTTATTTTCCACACTTTTTATTTTTCACATTACGTGCAATGCCTTTTTAACATGCTGCTGTAATGAAAACATATCCCAATTTGGGATCAATAAAGTGTATATTATCTTATTTATCTTATCTTATATTCATGCAAATATTTGCACATGTATAGATAATATGCAAATAATAAATGTAATATTAAATACATGATCCGTCCTATACTTTCTAACACATAAAAAAAGCTTCTAAAGTATCCAAACAATGCTACAACTTCATAACTACTACTACTACTACCACTACTTGATATACAACTACTTCCAAACAATTACTTTCTTGTTGTGATTAGGTTACTGATTATATTTTTTTACATGTAACTAGTAATTGTAACATATTCAATTGTTAAAGTAATCCTCTGCTAGATACTCATTTTCAAAGGCCTAGCTCAGACAAGAAGGAAGACCAAACTCCCACTGCGACCAGAATGCTCTCTGCAATATGTTCTCACAATGAATACATGCTGGATGCACACATTGAGGTGGACGTCACAATGCCCCCTAAGTGAGTGAAGGCAACAGTGATATAGGAGCAGTGAGTTGAAGTGACAGCAATAACCACTTATTGTCACTTCAAATTGGTCATACAGCAATAAGAAACCATTCAGATAAGATAAGTTAAACCTTCATTGATCCCCATAGGGACATTCAGGTGTCCTAGCAGCAACATAAATACAAGTCAAGCACAGGATAGGACAGATGTGATGTGAAAATTAAAAAAACAGTAATCATTTAAATTAAAGGCGTTTACATATATACAGATAAGTATAACTATGGATGTGATATTCAAGCAAAGGATATAAACAAAAAGGCTCTGAAGTTGATACACAAAGAACCCTGTGTGCTGCCTTTTCTAGCTCTCTTTTATATTATTGGTATATATTTCTCTAAATAGAGGAGTGCTAAGCTAGCTGCTAAGCTATCAGAGAAGTGCCACCAGTCATCCATGCTTCATGAGAGAAGCCTATCATTTTGCAGTTCCTCAAAACAGAAAAATCTAATTAGTGTTTGTCTCGCTTGATTGAAAAGCAATCAAAACAGCTCTCCGCAGTTGTTGCATGGAAATCGTGCCCTGAGGTGACCGGGAAGCATCGTCCTTCAGGAAAAAAATCACTCCTAAACCTTTCATTTCCCCCATTTGAGCTCTGATTGGGCTTCCAAAGATGGCAGTTTAACTTGTTCCTTTGGCTGTAATGGCGTTAGGAAGACACTCAGTGGCCATTTTGACTTTTCGTGTGTGTGGCTTGTTCCACATGCGTGTGAGATGTCCATAGACGTTTCAAAATCAATCACAGTCAGAGAGCTCGTTTCTAGAAACTCCTACTGTTTTCAGTGTGTGCCCGCAGGAGTGTGAGGTATTAATAATCTGTGTTAGGAGAAGGTGTTGAATCAAAGGGAGTGTGAATGTATTGCAGTGTGGGTGTCACATGGAGGCTGTTAAGGTGTTGTTTACACGAGAACGCAAACGGTTGTATTCGCTACTTTTCTCTTTCGTATAGCCCGTTCGTTCACAATAGGCCGTAACGGAAACGCGGTAGCTACTTTCAGTAGCTACTGTTACTGACCATGCTACAGCTGTTAGTGCAAAATCTACAGCTCCTCTACCACAACCAAGTGGACATGGAGAATTACATGAACTACATGTTGCTAAATCCACCGCGGGGTATAAACAGAAGGGCAACCATGGCAACCATGCTCGGGGGTCTTCTTCACTGCTTTTGATGTATTTTGTGGTGGAAGTACAGCGCCACTTACAGGCCCGGCATATGTACTACAGCGTCTCCAGCGATTCCGAGCGGTCTCGTGTGAACGGAAGACTTTTTTGATATCGTATTCGGTTTGTTTGCGTTTCGTTTGCATTTACGTGTAAGTGTGCGTCTGCAGGATCGTTTTGCAGATGTGCGGGTGTCAACCATCAATGATGGGATGGATATGATCCACTTTGACAGAACTACCACTGGTGGTCAAATTGATCACGCTACATTTAAACTATCTTGTTTGCAGGTGAAGATGTTGGTGTATGGACCTGACAGGAGAATAGGAATCCCCATGATCAGTAGGGTTAAGTATTCCACACAAAATCATACAAAATGTAGCCATTGAAATCTTGTTTGCGATGTGGTTGATCCTGTGTGTGGTGTGTCCAATATCAATGGGATTAATCCGATGGATCAAGGATGTACTTACGTAGGTAATTCATTTTAAATTATTGTTTAATTTGTGTACTTTAGGGATTACTTTCTGTACTCATGGAGAAAGTTGAGACATACAGCTCTGAAAAAAATTAAGAGACCACCAAAATCTCAATCTCTGAATGTATGGAAACCATTACATCCCAGTGTCTGTTGAATTCCAACAGTAGTATTTGTCAGTAGTTTAAAGAATTAAATAAGATTTGTTTATGTTTACTCAAAACCATACCTATACATAGTAAAACCAGAGAAACTGATAGTGCTGCAGTGGTCTCTTACTTTTTTCCAGAGCTGTATTATGAGGATCAAGGCAGACTGCTTGCATTGAGAGGTAGGGGATATGGATTGGTTGGTAGAACAAACAAAGGGCTTTGAACTACAGTAATGTAGGAGTCCAGTTTTGGTGCCCGGCATGACACCGAGCTATAGTTATATAACGTGGTGTATCCTATGTTAGCTAAGGGGCATCAGGTACACGGTTAATGTAACATTATTTGTTTATCATCATGATCTTTCCAAAAAACCTAACCATGTAGTTCGGGCGCCTCAACCTAACGTAATAAAAAGTAAATCCCACACCCAACAAAAAATTCCGTCTACGATGATTATTCCCATTTTAGAAAAAGTCATGAAGTTAGAGATGTGTGGGTTGTATTGGACCAGAATTACAGGTATTTGAAAACGAAGGGGGTTAAAAATGACCACCTTAGTGATTCTAGCATTGAAGGGTTCTCTTTAGTTTGTTAACACTTCTTTAGACCTTTAGCAGAACATTTTTAACAAATCATAAAATGGTGGAGACAAAGACAGCCATTTCAGCAAGTTGTGAGTTCATTCCCGAGCACCCCCAGTGTGAATGACACATACAGTATGCCTCTGAAGCTACAGGTATGAAGATGGCATCAATTATGAGATTGGTTTTCAAATTCCTGATATCCAACCTGACCTTCTCCTCAGGTTTGTCTTGGCTTTTGATAAACAACAAGGATAGTCATCTTCAGCAAGACATGTAAACATATGCAGTTTTAAGTGTTTGAAATCATGATTTTCTTTACAACATATCTGATATTGGCCTTCATACACCTGTATTAGTTCAACACCCCGTGTATGTTTGGGTGCCATGAAGCTAGCAGTCACACTGAAGTCTTTCCAAGCCAATCTTCCTGTCAGTGCTGAAGGCTGGAGCTCTGTCCACACTGCCATCCATCCTCTCCGCTATAAACCACACAGGCCTGCGGGCAGCTCATAAGAGCAATGTAACACCCTGTCAGTCCCAGCACTGATATTGGAACAATAAAAGTCAGCGGGATGTGTAGAACCATCAGAGTTAACTTGTGTTCCCAGCCAGATGGCTCGGACTCGGCTGGCATAGTCCTGATAAACTGGCGAAAATATTCCAGTCGAAGCACTTCAGTCAATACGGAGTCAAAGTTAAGAAAGTATTTCATGAATTAAATATGTGCTTAATTAAAATAAGCAGCCATTCAGTGGGTGAGGATGAGTGGAGGCTTGCTGCAGGAGTTCTGGCAGCAGAGGCGTGTGTGTGTGTGTGTGTGTGTGTGTGTGTGTGTGTGTGTGTGTGTGTGTGTGTGTGTGTGTGTGTGTGTGTGTGTGTGTGTGTGTGTGTGTGTGTGTGTGTGTGTGTGTCTGTCTGTCTGCATCTCCCTGGTGGAAGGCTCACAAGTACCCGTCAGGCACACTCGCAAATGATTTAGCAACACCGGCACTTCACTCTCTAAACATCTCATTAAAATCAATTATGTCACTCCTGAATGAAATTAAAGCTAAATGCTTTAAAAGCTGTTTTTCCCTTGTGTCAGCCAATATGAGCGTACCCCTGACGCTGTCTGTTTTTCCCCTCATTGTTGCATCCTCCCTCTCTATCTCTCTCCTGCTCCTCTCTCAGAGAGACTGAGAGAGATTTATTAACCTGTTTAGCCCTGAGCCTGTTTTTCAGGTCTCAGGCTCGAAAATGACATTCCCAGAACAAATGACCATATCTTCCCTTCTAAAAGGGGAAAATTAAAAATCTTTGTTCTCAAAGTAATGATAAACCCGTGAGTTGGATGTAGAAAAGTCAGAATCAATATAGAAGTTTTTATTTTAAAGTAAATTCCGATTAAACATAATATCAATCAATCAATCAATTAATCAATCAATGTTTATTTATATAGCCCAATATCACAAATGTTACATTTGTCTCAGTGGTCTTCACAGTGTGTACAGAATATCAGTATGACAATACGACACCCTCTGTCCTTAGACCCTCACATCGTACAAGGAAACACTTCCGGAGAAAACCCACAGTTTAAAGGGAAAAATGGGAGAAACCTCAGGGAGAGCAACAGAGGAGGGATC